GATAAAGTGAGACTCTGTCTCTAAAAAAAAAAAAAAAAAAAACTTAACAAAAGACTGGGCGCTGGTAGGTCAGTGGTTAGGGCACCAACAACATGCTCCAGATCTGGTGGGTATGAACCCAGTCCAGGCCTGCTAAACAAACAGAAAAATAATAGCTGGGCATTGTGGCAGGTGCCTATAGTCCCAGCTATGAGGGAGGCTGAGGCAAGGGAATCGCATGAGCCCAAGAGTTTGAGGTTGCTGTGAGCTACCACTACACTCTACCGAGGGAAACAAAGTAAGACTCTGTCTCAATGAAAATGAAAAAACTCAACAAAAAAGTAATCTGTAACATGCATTTTTTTTTTTTTTTTTGATACAGAGCCTCAAGTTGTCCCCCTGGGTAGAGCGCTGTGACATCACAGCTCACAGCAACCACCAACTCCTGGGCTCAAGCCAGTCTCCTGCCTCTGCCTCCCAAGTAGCTGGGACAACAGGCACCTGCCACAACGCCTGGCTATTTTTTGGTTGCAGCTGTGATTGTTGTTTGGCGGGCCTGGACTGGATTTGAATCCTCCAGCTCGGGTGTATGTGGCTGGTGCCTAAGCTGCTTGAGCCACAGGTGCCAAGCCTAACATGCATTTTCAATGTGTAAACATTCATTCTGACTCCATTAGCAGATAGGGGTCGCCGTCCTATTTGTGCTTATTTTGTTATCACTGAGCCTGTAGCTGCAGTGGTATGATCTGGATACCTGCAGCAGCCCTAGCTTTCACTTATTCTCTCTCTGTCAGCCAGGCTAAAATGCCATGGTGTCACCTTAGCTCACAGCAACAATCCTTTTGCCTCAGCCTCCCTGAGTATCTGGACTATAGGTGCTCACCACAACACCTGGCTATTTTTTTTTTTTTTAGAGATGGGGTTTTACTTTTGCTCAGGCTGGTCTCAAACTCCTGCGCTCAGGCAATCTACCCACTGTAGCCTCCCAGAATGATAGGATTACAGGCATGAGCCACCATGCCCAGCCTTACAAGTGAATTTTTAAGCAAAAAGAAGAGGCAGTTCCTAAATTGTTTACCAAGAATTTATATTAAAAATATTGTAGGCCAGGCGTGGTGGCTCACGGCTGTAATCTTAGCACTCTGGGAGGCTGAGGCAGGTGGATTCTGTAAGCTCAGGAGTTAGAGACCAGCCTGAGCAAGAGCAAGACCCCCTTCTCTAAAAGTAGCTGGGCACTATGGCAGGTACCTGTAGAACCAGCTACTCCAGAGGCTAAAGCAAGAGAATCACTTGAGCCCAAGAGTTTGAGGTTGCTATGAGATATGATGCTACTGCACTCTACCCAGGGCAACAAAATGAGACTCTGCCTCAAAGAATAAATAAAGAAATTTAAAAACATTAAATTGTCAATTGGCTATTTGTTCTTTCTTTCTTTCTTTCTTTTTCTTTTCTTTTTCTTTTTTTTTTTTTTTTTGAGACAGAGCCTCAAGCTGTCGCCCTGGGTAGAGAGCTGTGGTATCACAGCTCACAGCAACCTCCAACTCCTGGGCTCAAGCGATTCTCCTGCCTCAGCCTCCCAAGTAGCTTGGGACTACAGGCGCCTGCCACAATGCCCGGCTATTTCTTGGTTGCAGCCATTATTGTTGTTTGGCGTGCTTGGTTTGGATTTGAACCCACTAGCTCAGGTACATGTGGCTGGTGCCTTAGCCACTTGAGCCACAGGTGTTGGGCCTGGCTATTTGTTCTTTGTTGACACTGTTCTTTATATCTACAAATTTCAGGAACATGAAGGTAATGGGTAAGGCAGTTAGTCAGGAACAAAATGCCTTTCTTTCTTTCTTTTTAGAGATGTCTTTTCTTTTTAAAGACAGGGTGTCTTGCCCACTGTGAGTGCAGTGGCGCCATCGCAGCTCATTGTAACCTCAAAATCCTGGGCTTAAGAGATCTTCATGCCTCTTCCTTGTCCATGGATGTGGCAGGTGTGACTGAAGACCCTTACTCACATATCTCTCTGGGTTTGACAAATTTTGCATACAAATAGTTCAGACTGCTCTGAGCTAGTTTTCTTTTCTCAAACTTTATACTAAATTATAGGCTGTGGGTAGGTTTTCATTCATTCAGTAAGTATGTACTGAGTATTTATGTAATTGCTTCTGCCAACCCCACAATCCACTTCTGGGGTTACAATTTAATTTGCTTCCTCACCTTCAAGTCTTTGTTAATTTCTCTATGAGCCTTAAATCTGACCATCCTATGATACTGCAAGTCCCTATTCCTCCCCCTTGCTTATTTTTTTTCTCAAAACCATTATCATGTGTTACGTATTGTATCCCCAGTTCCTAGAAAAGCTACCTGGTCAGAATAAGTGAACCAGTAAACACAATAAAGATCTGAATTAATGAATTCTGTAATGACTGCACTTCCAGGCAGGGGCTCTCTTCTGGGCTCCCACAGCCCCTGGGACCCCGCCGCCCCAAGAGGTCCCCAATAGCAAGTATTTTCCTGGATGACTTACTTGGTTGGGGAGTCAAGGGCTAAAAGGGGAGTGGCTGCAAGTAGAATATTCTGGCTGTGCTGACCATGGACTTAGCTCACTGTCTTCCCCCATCAGTGCAGTCCCTGGAAGAAGAATGCCTGCTGCTCCGTCAACACCAGCCAGGAAGCCCACAAAGATAATTCCTACCTGTATAACTTCAACTGGGACCACTGTGGAATGATGCAGCCCATCTGCAAACAGCATTTCATTCAGGACACCTGCCTCTATGAGTGCTCTCCTAACTTGGGGCCCTGGATCCAGCAGGTATGAATGTCTTCCTGGCATCCCCAGCCTGGCAGAGGTGCTGTGAGATGCCTCTGCAGGCTGCGCCTCCAACTCTGGTTCTGTTCAGGGCTACATTGCTGGGATTCCCAAGCCTGAGCCCTTCTTCTCTACCAAATCTTCCAGGTGGACCAGAGCTGGCGAAAAGAGCGGGTCCTGAATGTTCCCCTGTGCAAAGAAGACTGTGAGCACTGGTGGGAGGATTGTCGAACCTCCTATACCTGCAAGAGCAACTGGCACAAGGGCTGGAACTGGACCTCAGGTGGGGGTTGGGGTGGAGAGGGAAATAGGTGTGGGGGTGTGGCAGAGGTATGTGAAGATTTGGGGTTGTGGGGTTGGCAGAAGCAAATAGAATTCTGAGCCCAGTGGCTAAAGGTCTTTTATCCTCCCTGCAGGGACTAACCATTGTCCAGTGAAAACTACCTGCCGCCCCTTCCATATCGTCTTCCCCACACCTGCTGCTCTGTGCAATGAAATCTGGAGTCACTCTTATGAAGTTAGCAACTACAGCCGAGGGAGTGGCCGTTGCATCCAAATGTGGTTTGACCCAAACCAGGACAACCCCAATGAGAAGGTGGCAAGGTTCTATGCTGCAGCCATGAGTGGGGCTGGGCTCCATGGAGCCTGGGCTTCCCTGTTCAGCCTGACCCTCATGCTCCTCCTGCTACTCTGCTGACCTCTCTTTACCCTCTGAGAGCTGGACATCCCTGTCCTGCTTGGCCCCACAGCTCTAGCTACTCACTTCCTGCTCCATGGTGGTACCTCTAACAGCCAGTTTAAATAAACTAGACACTCCACATGTGTCTTGAGTTATTTGGGTGTGAATGTGAATGAGAATGTGACTTTTTTTGAGACAGTCTCAAGCTTGGTGCCCTGGGTAGAGTGCTACGGTATTATAGCTCACAGCAACTTCCAACTCTTGGGCTCAAGTGATCCTCTTACCTCAGTTTTTCTATTTTTAGTAGAGACGGGGTCTTGCTTTTGCTCAGGCTAGTTTTGAACTCGTTAGCTCAAGCAATCCATCTGCCTTGGCCTCCCAGAGTGCTAGGATTACAGGCATGAGCTACCATGCCCAACCATGACTTTTTTTTTTGAGACAAAGTCTTACTGTTGCCTTAGGTAGAGTGCCATGGCATCACAGCTTAGAGCAACCTCAAACTCTTGGGCTTAAGTAATCCTCTTGTTTCAACTTCCCAAGTAGCTGGGACTATAGGCACCTGCCACATGCCTGGCTTGTTTTTTCTATTTTTAGTACAGGTGGGGTCTTGCTTTTGCTCAGGTTGGTCTTAAACTCCTGAGCTCAAGCAGTCCACCTGCCTTGGCCTCCCAGAGTGCTGGGATTACAGGCATGAGCCACCCAATTCCCATTGAAGCTAGTTATATTGCTCAGTTTCCAGCTCTAGTACTTGCTATGAGCTAGCCTAGTGCTTCATTTGTCTTCTAACTTAGGAGACATGTATGGATCTCTATTTCATTTTTCATTATAGCTTTAATCTAGAGCCAACCCCAGGATTTTATCATTTAAATCAGACCCAAGCCTCCCAGGGTTGATGTCCTGCCCTGTGTTCAGCTCTCCAATAGAAAAGATGGGAATGGCTATGTCCAGCATATTCTGGTAGATGGCTGGGAATAGGGTAGTAGGCCCAGCAAGAGGCATATCTCACTAACAGCTAATACCCACAAAGCCAGCCACTGTCCTAAATTCTTTATAATTATTCTGACAAAGTATAGATACCATTGTCTGCATTTTACATATGTGGAAACAGACACATGTAAAGAACATGGCGAAAACCACCCATGTATAAGAGCACCTTAGGCAATCGGGCTTTTGAGAACAAACTCTTTCCCTTGTGGAGTGAGTAAATATATGTGTCTTAAGGCTCGGCGCCTCTGGGTCAAGTGGCTAAGGCGCCAGCCATGACACCCAAGGTGGCGGGTTCGATTCTAGCCCAGGCCCGCCAAACAACGATGGCTGCAACCAAAAAATAGCGGGGCGTTGTGGCGGGCGCCTGTGGTCCCAGCTACTCAGGAGGCTGAGGCAGGAGACTCGCTCAAGCCCAGGAGTTGGAGGTTGCTGTGAGCTGTGATGCCACAGCACTCTACCCAGGAGGGACAGCTTGAGGCTCTCAAAAAAAAAAAAATATGTGTGTGTGTGTGTGTGTCTTAAAGTATCAGTCCCCAGCCAGGCACCGTGGTTCACACCTGTAACCCTAGCACTCAGGGAGGCCGAGATGGGTGGATCGCTTGAGCTCGTGAGCTCCATATCAGCCTGAGCAAGAGGGAGATGCTGCCTCTACTGAAAAAAAAATGAAAACTGATGCAAGAGGATCACTTGAGTCCAAGAGTTTGAGGTTGCTGTGAACTATGATAGCACTCTACCAAGAGTGACGAAGTGTGAGACTCTCTCAAAAGAAAAGAAAAGAAAAGAAAAAGGCATCATGGGCGGTGCCTGTGGCTCATTGGGTAGGCCGCCAGCCCTGTGTACCAAGGGTGGCGGGTTCAGACCCAGCCCCAGCCAAACAGCAACAAAAAAATAGCCAGGTGTTGTGGCAGGGTCCTGTAGTCCCAGCTACTCAGGAGGCTGAGGCAAGAGAATCACTTAAGCTCAGGAGTTGGAGGTTGCTGTGAGCTGTGACGCCATAGCAACTCTACCCAGGGTAGAGACTCTGTCTCTACCAAAAAAAAAAAAAAAGAAAGAAAGAAAAAGGCATCAGTCCTCAAGCATTTTGGCACCAGGGACTGATTTTATGGAAGACAATTTTTCTACTGAGGAGGGTGTGGGGTGGGATGCCAGCTATGGGGAGTGGTTATCAATACAGATAAAGCTTTGCTCTCTGGCCCAAGGTTCACCTACAGTGCAGCCTAGTATCTTACAAGTCACAGACCTTTTTTGGCACCAGAGACCAGTTATTTCTTTTTTTGTTGTTTTTTGGGTTTTTTTTTTTGAGACAGAGTTGTACTATGTCACCCTCGGTAGACTGCTGTGGGATCATAGCTCACAGCAACTTCTACCTCTTGGGCTTAAGTGATTCTTTTGCCTTAGCCTCCCAAGTAGCTGGGACTACAGGTACCCACCACAATGCCTGAGTATTTTTTTGTTGTTGTCCTTGTTCAGCTGGCCCAGGCCAGGTTCAAACCCACCAGCCGCAGTGTATGTGGCTGGCGCCATAACCACTGTGCTACGGGTGCCAAGCCCAGAGACCAGTTTTATACAAGGCAATTTTTCTGCGGACAGGGGTTGGGAGGTGGGTGGGAGGGAAAAGAGGCAGAGCTCAGGCAGTGATGCTATGTAGCCAGGTTTTCCTGTCTTTTCCCTTTTTCCTTTTTTAAGTTGTCAATGCAAAGGAAGGGGACTGCTGTCCTAAAGGGACAATGGGTCCAAGCCTAACCAGAGGAGCTAGGTCTGAGCTGATCTGGCAGACCTAGAACTGGAACCCAAACTTAGCCACATGAACAGGTCCTAAAGCAATAATTTAGAAGGTTTTTAGGCCATGTTGTTCAATAAGTATAGTTTGTAGCACTTGTAATAATCTATGCTATGTTATAGTAATATCCCTAATATCTCAGTGACTTAATACAACTTACCTTTCTTTGTTTTTTGAGACAGAGTCTCACTTGGTCACCCTTTCTTGCATAATCTGCAATATTTAATATGAGTTGTAAGGAAGCTTCTGCTTCTCACTTGGACTCAGGGTAATGGAGGTTCCATCATGTATTTCCATGAGACAGGAAAAGGGAACTTGGTGGATTCCATATAGGTTCTTCAAGCTTCAACTCAGAGAAGAGAATCACAGGTTTGCCAACAAGAGCTAGTGACAACTACGAAGAACTTGTTACCATTTCTTGCGTGGTCCTTGTTATCATTTTTTCTTTTTTTTTGAGATAGAGTCTCACTCTGTTACCTGGGCTAGAGTGTTATGGCATCACTCACAGCAACCTCAAACTACTGGGCCCAAGTGATTCTCCTGCCTCAACCTCCCGAGTAGCAGGGACTACAGGCACCTGCCACAATGACCGGCTACTTTTTCTGTTTTGGGTAGCAATGAGTCTTGCTCAGGCTGGTCTCAAACTCATGAGTTCAAGGGATCCTCTGGCTTCGGCCACTTAGATACTAGGATTATAGGTGTGAGCCACTGTACCTGGCTTGAATTTAATTTTTCTTTTCTTTCTTTCTTTCTCTTTTTTTTTTTTTTTTTTTGAGACAGAGTTTCACTTTGTCACCCTCAGTAGAGTGCCATGGCATCACAGCTCACAGCAACCTCCAACTCTTGGGCTTAAGTGATTCTCTTGCTTCGGCCTCCCAAGTAGCTGGGACTACAGGCACCTGCCACAACGCTCAGCTATTTTTTTGTTGCAGTTATTTAGCTGGCCCAGGCCAGGTTCAAACCCGCCACCTTCAGTGTATGTGTCTGGCACCGTAACCGCTGTGCTACAGGCACTGAGCCTCTCAATTTAATTTTTCAATTAGATCCTAGTAACAAGGAGAACCAGCTCTTTAAACCTATGCAAATAACTATTAACCTGAAAAGCAAGCAATCCACAAAGGACAGGCCAGCTGATGCATCCTATTCTTTCCCAGAGCTTGTTACAAATACAATTTTTTATAGATACATTAGAATTAGTGGAATTTAAGATCAGTACAATCTCTTTTTTTATTTCTTGAGACAGAGTCTCACTTTGTAGCCCTCAGTAGAGTGCCATGGCATCATAGCTCACAGCAACCTCAAATTATTGGGCTCAAGTGATTCTCTTGCCTCAACCTCCCAAGTAGCTGGGTCTACAGGTGCCTGCCACAATGCCTGGCATTTTTTAGAGACGGGGGTCTCACTCTGGCTCAGGCTGGTCTCCAACTTGTGAGCCAGACAATCCACCCACCTTGATCTCCCAAGTCCTAGGATTACAGGCGCGAACCACCTTGCCCAGCCCTAGGTCAGTACAAACTCAATCCAGCATACTTTAACAAGGCCTGTTATGCTACTTTTAAGACATTTATAAAAGTATATGTCTGAATCCTACTTTCTGCAGTTGTCATCCCCAGGCTCTGAGGAGTCATTGGTTTGCAGAGTGTATTAATACTTCTCCACATTAAGATTTCCTGGGACAGTAGTACTGGCATAAGGATAAATATAAATCAATGGGACAGAACTGTGATCCAGTGATAAATCCTTATAATTATAGTTAATTGATATTTGACATAGGTGCTCAAGGAATTCATTGGGGGAAAAACAGTCTGTTCAACAAATAGTGTTCAAGCAATTATTATCCACACATAAAGATTAACTTAGATCATCACACTAAACAAAAATTAACTCAAAATGGACTATTGGCTTAAATGTAATAGATGAAACAATAACATTTTGAGAATAAAACAGGAGAATGTCTTCTAGACTCTGTGTTAGACAAAAATTTCTTTTCTTTTTCTTTCTTTCTTTTTTTTTAGAGACAGAGTCTCACTTTGTTGCCCTCGGTAGAGTGCTGTGGTGTCACAGATCACAGCAACCTCCAGCTCTTGAGCTTAGGCAATTCTCTTGCCTCAGCCTTCTCCCAAGTAGCTGGGACTACAGGCGCCTGCCACATGTCAGACTTTTTTTTCTTTTTTTTTTTGAGACAGAGCCACAAGCTGTTGCCCTGGGTAGAGTGCTGTGGCATCACAGCTCACAGCAATCTCCAACTCCTGGGCTCAAGTGATTCTCCTGCCTCCGCCTCCCAAGTAGCTGGGACCACAGGTGCCCGCCACAACACCTGGCTATTTTTTGGTTGCAGCCATCATTGTTGTTTGGTGGGCCTGGGCTGGATT